ATTAAACTGAACGCTGCATTTGTGGAACTACAGGAGCGAGTCACAGCTGAACGTTCTGAACATGTTCCTGTTTTGAACAAATGCAGCAATAATTACGGGTTTCTTAAAATGGTTACGCTGGTCCTTCCCACACACACTCAGAAATAAAGGCTGCTGGGTTCGTCTAAACCAGAGAGTGGCAGGGGAATCGTCCCTGGTGATCCCCATCCCAGTACAAAATCCCAAGTGCTGTCAGCCCAGCTCCTGTGGCACTGGGGCTCCTCAGGGGACACCCTGTGGCCCACAGAGAGTTGTTCAAGTGTCCTCTCCAGGAGCCTTTCTGCAGTGTCTTTTGGGACAGCTTATTCCTGGGAATTGTGCACAGAAATGGCACGAACTCAGCAGCTCAGGCTGACAGAGTCTGACAACTTAATAACTGTTTGTTGTCCTTGACATGGTGGTGCCATCTGGTCCTGCTTGGACAGCTGATCTGTAATACTGCACTGCATGGTATTCCAGCTTTTGCTGATGGAATCTTGGGCTGTGCTGGAATGGCACACGGATACCTCGATGCCTGCCTGTGGCCAGGTGGCACATGCTTAAATCACATCCCCCCGTGCTGTGATGGAGAGGGACACACAGGGGTGTTGGAAATTGCTTTTGAGACAAAGGGAGGGAAGGCATGAAGGTGGCTTCAGGTATGATATGGGAACCCAGATCAGGAATCAAAGAGCCATTGGAAGTCCACAGTCTTCCCTTCTCCCCTTGAAGGACTTTAGATCTGACCAGACTCTGAAGAGTGCCCTGTGCCACCACAGCAACACAGTGTCGGGGCAGGAGCTCAGCAACTGGCTTCTTCACTCATGTTCAGCTGCTTCAGAGGAGGTTGTACAGAAATCTCAAATTGCTGTGACATGTTCACTTTCATCTCTTGCTCCTTGTGTTGCCCTCACTTTGGGGAATCCTGGAGGTTGGATGGGACCTCCCACATTATGCTGGCATTAGTCTGAAATGAGGAAAATAAATGTATACCTCATTAAATGTATGTAGAGGACTGTGAGAGGAGAGGCTTGAATTTGGTTTTTGCATTCGCTCCATTTTGTCATTTGCCACTTCCTTTTGGCTTTATCCCCTTTTTTGCCTTTCCATGATTATAAAGCCCTATTTCTCTGCATGCACTGTCTGTGATTTTTATTTATGTGGTGTTAAGTTCATAACAGACAAGCACTTCATGAACAGAAGGGGCTTGATGAAATCCAGCAGCTGAAAGCTGGAGCAGAATGCAGTCACACCAGAAGTAAGATGCAGATCCTTTTTTCTTTCATGTAATGAGTATTTAGCTTTTAGGACACCTTAGCCAGAAACTCATTTCTTCTTAGCTTGCAGTCTTTGTGCCAGGATTTACAATGATTCTAAAAAGAAGGTGGCTGAACTGGTAACATAATAAAGAAATAAACAGAGATGTTCTGCCACATTTACTGTGGTTATTGCTCAGTCAAACATCACAAATTCTACCAGTAAATGCCAGGTAAAAGTAGCAGATTAGACCTTTTAGAAGTTCAGAGTCTAGTCCTGCTTTGGTATGTATGGCCTCAACATGTGCAGCCTGAGCTCTCAAATCAAACTACAGAGTGTCCCCAAAGTCACTGGAGATACAGCTCCTGTTTTAACAGAGGGGCATCCTTCTTCTCTTATTAACTCATTTCCTTTTAATCTGCAGAGGAGCCAAACCCTGCTTTGGGGTATATTCAGGTTTGTCTTATTTGTCGTAAATTTTTCAAGATCTGTGCTACACTGATGACTTTTTAATTACAAAAGAAATCCAGAATACTTTGTTATGCAGCAATGAGATATGTGGTTAAACCAGCCAGTTTAGTACATGTGCTTTTGCTGCTCTGCAGAAATACACAAATGCACACTTGGAAATCCTCTTGCTGATATGTCAGCATTTTGAAACTTCTCCAGTGTGAGGTTAGCAGGGTTATTTTCCTTTGTCTGGGGTTTAAAAACACTGTTCCCAACCTGGTATCTGGGTAAGATAAAATGAGTCCAATGAAGGTAGGAAGTTGACTTTTCTACCTCTAGCAGGAACACTTCTTGACTGCGTAATTCAAAATTGTTTTAAGCAACCTTCTCCTTCTCCCACGGCAGGGAAGAGCAGTAATTTCCCATTGCCAGAGGTGACACAGCCCAGAGCCAGGCATATGGGAAAAGGCCTGTGGAGAGACAATGGTGAGTATCTGCACAAAAACAGGGCTCAGAATATAGTTTCATGGGTAATGATAAAGTAATGCAAAAGCAAAGCTGATATGAAGTTTTTGCATTATTATTTGCAGTAAAAGTAGGAAAGGGATTCTGATAGGTACTTTGGTATTATTATTATTATTATTATTATTATTATTATTATTAATTATTATTATTATTATTATTATTATTATTATTATTACTACTATTTTGCTGAAATGAAGGGAAGGGACAGTAAGAAGAGGGTGCAGAAGAAAGGTAACTAAAACATGTATATTTAATGAGTTTGTTTCTTTTCCTCCTAAGGGACCAAAGATGCAGAAGGGTGCTGGTACTCTGTCAGCCCACGTGCCCTCCTCTCCCCACCAGCTTCACCCTGGTGAAGTTCCCCTTTTTAGGAACGCAGGGAGGGCAGCACCCCCTGCAGGGATGAGAGCTTGTGATCCTGGGCAGGAGCCACTTTAACCAAGAAACAGTGACTTCCAGCTGCAATTCACCTGGGCAGGTGCCCATCTGTGCATGGCAGGAAGCCTGTGGGTGCTGCTCCTTCCTTGGCCCAGAACTCGAGTGCGAGGAACCAGAGAAAACATAGTGCCCTGTTTGTTTACTCTCCACCCTGCTAAAATGCATGTGGTTTCACTTCTTTCCTTTGTAATAAACTGTGCCCACCACAGCGTACATTGTTTTAAATAACATTTTAAAATATTTTCCGGTAAATTAAAGTGATGACATGTTTGTGGGGTTCATTGTTAATTTCATTTCCTTTGGCTCAGCCAGCCAGATAAAATGCAATGTTATTAATCTTTGTTTAAAAGAAGATCCTTTGCCGAACAGTAATAAATGATCTTGATAGATTTGTCAGGAAAATGAATGATAATCATTTGCAGATAGACACGAGCCTAGTATGGAAGATTAATAAGAAAATATGTATTGGCGTCATTAATAACATCTGCTGCCAATGGACTCGTATATTGGTTGCAGCCCTGAGATCAGTGTGTTCTTGTTAGGCTGCTGCAATCCATCCCGTGCTGTGAGGAGCTGCTCGGTGCTCCTGGGGCGATGACAGCCTGCTCCCCAGGAAAGCCTCCCAGGATCCCGACGCCGACACCGCATCCGCCGTCGGATGAGCCCGTCATCGCCAAAGCCCCGGCTCTGAAAGAGGAATAACACGAGAAAGAAACTCACCCCACCCTCAATATTCAACCAGGAGGAAAAATGTTTTTTTTTTCTTTTATAGATCTTTTTTATTTGGTTTTAAATTTTTTTTTTCTTCTAATTACGTTGCTTTCCTTGAAAATACAAGGAAAGGTCAGGACGTTTTTGAGACAGCTTTGGTTTATTTCAATGAAACATTTCAGACTCCCCCTCCCCAATAATTCTTTTTCCTTTTGTTTCACTTCAGTGGTTCAAAGCAGAGCAGTAAGTCAAATAAATTTACCAATGAAATGTGTTCCTCCTGTGGGGTGCACAGCTGGCTGCATCTGGCAGTGCGGATGTCTCCATTCCTTCTCAGAGCCAAGCTCAGAGATGCAGTCACAGCTCTCAGGCAACATTACTTTAACTGACATAGACATCAGCATTTTAAAGGAAACTTCATCTTCCAGGGCCCAGGAGGGTGAGATGGGGAGGGGAAGAAATCAACATCATATAACCAAAGATCAAAAATGTTTGTGCCATTAAAAAAAACCCAAACAACCAAACCCAAAAACTTAGTCAAATTCAGTTCTATTCTCTGCAAAACTGAATTTTTCTTGGGGGGAAAAAAATAATCTCAAGTGTTTAAAAAAAAATGCCCCAGTTTTGCTCATCCTGTCCTGCATTGCTTTCCCCATGGCTTTAGCAGATGTGTGGCCAAAAAAAGCCAATAAGACCATGGAGCCAAGTGCTACTGAGGGTGTCTGAGGGCTCTAGGCAAGGAGGTGAGAGCCCTGATATTTCTAAATGCACTAAAAACATACCTGTTATTATTAGACATTTACCAGCTCTTAATCACAGCTGGTAACTTGATATCCTCTAAATGTTTTGAGGTACCCTCTGATCCGGGCACTACCTGCTTGAAACCGAAGAGTGGAAAGGCAGAACAAATTCTGTGTTGTATTCCTCTTCCCCAGGGATGGGTGGGCAACCGATGGGGCTGAGGTCTCCCTTGTTCAAGGGATATCTACTTTTTCCTCTTAGAATAAGCAAGTGCTTATACTGACCTGCATAAAGCCAGCACAGACCTCATCCTGCATGGCCAATTCAGTCTCCATCCAAACTGAGGAGAAGCAGTGGAACCATGACCTGGGCTTCCTGAGCCAGGTGGAAACAGAGCCTTGTTTCTTCTCTCCTTGATGAATCATGACTCATTTTCTCTTCCCTGCACAGCCCATGCCTGGTGACCTGGACATGTCCCTCGGATGCTGGAGTGCAGGATCACATGCCTGTGGGCATTTTTAGCCTTCTCCAGGTGAGCATCCTAACCACCAGGCACAGATATTAACAGGGGTTATTGCTGTCTATGGTTTAAAAAATTATGGCTGTGCCACATGACATGGTGGCACCAGGATGGGTCAGAGAAGCCCGAACTTGCTCAAGAAAGCGAGGCCCTGGATCAGGCCCCAAGGAAGGATATTTCTTTTCCCTGAGACAGCCGGGTCACCTTGGTCCCAGGGAGCCCTTCGTGTGTCAGTGCAGGACAGATCACCACAATAACCCAAAGTCAGGATTGGCTTGGTTACTAAGGCACCTTTATTGCTGGTAATGCTGTCAAGGGGCAGCATCAGCCTGATGAGCAAATAGGCTGGGGCTGTTGTGAGACCCACTGTCACACAGCAGAGTGGGCAGGATGGGGGGCTCGGGAAGCAGGAAGAAGCTCCCTGTTCCCACTGCTGATGCCAGCAAGGCAGGAGGGGTGGGGTGGAAGGGGTCCAACACACATCCTGGGGTTGCTGGGGAGCCAAGGTTGTCACTGCTGAGCTAATTCAGTGGTCCCCTACTGACCCTATTCGAATTTTAGCCATATAAAAAAGCTGCAGTGTGTTTAAGTCTCATTCTGCACACCAGTGTAAACCAGAAGTCCTTCCCCCAAATGCATCGGTGCAAAGTCAGCCCTGAGAGAGAACCCAGCCATAGCTGGGCTTTCCAAAGCCTTTGCTCCTTGCTGGGCTCGGCTTTGCACCTTTAAACTGGACCCCAGACCTCCAGACTTGGCCCACATCCCAGACATGACCAGTGTTGAGTCTTGGTCTCACCCTATGGGGAAACTGAGCCCCACAGTCATTCCCAGCAAGCAGTGCCTCCAGGGAAGGGCTGTGCCACAGAATGCCAGTGGGTCCCTCCTGGGACCATCACCAGGGGCTCTGTCACCTGATGCTTCCAGCTTAGACAGGAAGGTGGGAGAAACCAAAGCCACCCCTTTCCTGACCCCACCTCAGCTGAAATATGCCCACAGGAAGACATTAATGGCCAGCAGGAGAACAGCATTGGCATTGCAAACAGTCTTCCACAGGGGCTTTTCCTCAATGCTGGTGAGTCTCTGCTCCAGGGCAGCTCTCTCCTCCTGGGACAGGGTGGGCGTGGGGCTGGTGGAAAGACCACAGAACCACAAATACACCATTTTCCAGTAGGGAGGCTTGGCTGCTGCGAGAGACAGACCAAAAAATGGGTGTTAGAACCTACTGGGACTTTCCCTCCCTCTTCCCACTAGTTTGGAGGTGCATTAGCCAATCTGCAGTGGGGTTTGAGAGGCACCTGGGGTAGGAGATGCAATATCAGGATGGGAAAGGGAAAGAGAAAGGGAAACTTATCCCTCAACCATGTACAGCACAGCCTGATTACAGTCAGTTGATTGCAACACCAATCGCTCATTAGTTAATTAAGAGACCTTTTCCCCCTCCTCCCCAACCCGGCTTCCATCCACTTTCAAAAATTCCTGACAGCATGATGGTCCATTTAGAGATATCCTGGCTTGTTTATTACACATGACATGCCAGGTGAAGTGTGAGTTTTAATTGTCAGCCCGGTGCAGTGTGTATTTCAGTGGCTGTTCTTTCCAAATATAACCTTTTTTTGAAATGCAGGATGTCATAGGGCCTTGAAAAAAAGGTGTTACTCTGAAAAAAAACTCATTAAACTGTCAACTGCTGTGTTTCGCATTTCCTTCCCCATCATTACTAATTACCAAAGTACCAAGACACTTGTTTATAAAAATCTGAGCTAGTTAAGTGAAATAGGAATTGATAAGAACTAATAAATAATGCTGAATTACTGCAGTCAACCCAAAACTTATTCTACTGGTCAAAAAAAAAAATTAAGAGATTTCTTTAGTTGTACACTTCTGTTTGGCTTGACTGTAATTGGTACCAGTGTCCTTTGGACTGACCAGCGAAAGGAAGGAGTGAAGAAATCTTGTGTATGTGCCTTTATTCTGAGGTTTCTGCTCTGTAACCTTTGAAGGTTAAGCTGAAAACCAGAAAGCTGCAATTTTAAATAGATTTGCAGAATAAAGCTCTGTCCACTCTGAAAAGAACTTGCCTATGTAGCATCTCCTGCTACTGTTCTATCTCCCGACGACTCCTTAAGTTCATTTGACCCTTTGCTTTCTTTTTTATTAGATACCCTTGGCAGGACACACAGCTATCTAAGCTCTGAGTTTTAACCATGCCTCATATCCTAAAGGAAGATGAAAGATACTGCTGGCATTATGTAAAAGAGAGAACTGAGGCTTGTAAACATCCACGAAGTGCACAGGTCTGCTCCCTGGGTCTCACGGTCCCTTCAGATCGTGATGTTATTTTGACACAGCTTGTGGCAGCATCACTGGGTGAGTTTGGTCCCAGCAATGACGAGGACAGGAAGGGATGCCACTTTCACATGCTGAAAGTTGCAATTACAGAGCCTGCCATGACTTTCATAGTGCTACTGGTAGCTGCTTGCTTTGGCTAAGGCTGCAGTAGTGCTGTGGAGCTCAGGGGCATCTTGGTGAAGCACACAAATTGATGCAGTGTCATGGCACAAAGCCCCAGTGTCAGTGGGGTGAGGGGCAGTGTCCCTGCAGCACAGACTTCCACCCTCCCAAGGGATGTTCCCAAGTGCCCATTAAACTCATCTAAGGAGTCCAGCAAACAGCTGAGTGTCCAGGCCTGGAGTGCTAAAATCAGCCTGTGACTTGGGCAGAACTGGATCAGGGTAGTTTGCATTTGTTCTAGGGAGGAGGAGGGAAAGCACTTTACTGAGTGGTGGGTTTTCTTTTTTTTTTTTTTTTTTTTGGTAGCTCTTCTGAACCATTTAGAGAATTGTAACATGAAGTGATGTTGTGAGGACCAAGAACCATAACTGCTGCACCTGTAAATACAGGCCCAGACTCCAGTAAATGCAACAGGTGGCCTCTCATGAGCTTTAGGGACTTGCATGAGGCCCTGGCTGTGCCCTCGCATGCACATGAGCATGTCTGTTCACAAACAATCACCCTACCTGTCTCCTCCTTGTCGCCTGACTCTGCACTTTTGACCAAGTCGTTCTCTCCATTGGCTGAATTGATCTGTGCTGCCTCACTCTTGCAGTTTTTCAGGTCAATGGCAGGTGCTTTTCTGTGTCTGGTCCACCAAGTCAGGCATGAGAGCTGCAAAGTGGGACAGAGAACAAACAGGTTATTGCCTGTCAGTCCCAAAGCATCATGACAGTCACCTCCCTCTTTGGGGAGCACAGGTCCAAGACAGTGCTGAGAGAACTATTTGGGGTGATCTCCCACTGTCCCTCACCTCCCTTCTGCACAGGTGGTACCTTCCAAACAGAATGAAAAAGCTGAGGAAAAGTGTGAATTAATCTAGTTTCTTTCCTTCTATTTTTTTTAAATAACCTGTTCCATCCCTGCCTCTATCAGGAGTAACCTTTTAGTAGACATTGAAGAAGCAGCTTCCTCTTTATTAGGCTCACATGATTGACATGAAATAATGATGATCTGCAGCATCCTGAATGGCAGCCCTCCAGTGGGGAGGGGTAATAAAATCAGTGAAATAACAATTAAAAAAATAAACCAAGATATCTCTCTGGTAACATTCACAGACAGCAGTTGTACCATTAGAAGATTTTGTTTTCAATTCTAGACTTCTAGAATTGGGCCAATACAAGATATTACCTCTCTCTGAAGTCCTTCAGTGAAAGAACCATCCAAAGCCACAGAGGACGATCAGCCCTGGCCAGGCTGCTGTGGCTGCAACCTCCTCTGCTTTACAAATGCAAAAAGGTCTGAAACTCTCATCCCAGAGCAAGTCTGAAAGTCTACTTCTCCTCCCCAGGAGTGCACACAGGGAGTGCACAGGAGGTATCAACTTTGCAAACCTCTCAGTGGTCCTCTGGCAGCTGTGGGGTGGAGTTACCCACCCCAGGGGCTCAGGGCTTTGGATTTAAGCCAGGCCTGTGGCTGCTTTGGCTGACCACAGCACACCAAGGAGGCTGAGGGCATCAGCGCTTCCCAACCCCTGCCTGCTCTAGCCAGGCCAGGCCAGGCAGCAAGGACCACGCTCATCAATCCCTCTCAAACACAACTGCCCACTGGCCTGTCCTCCTGTTCCACCCACAGCTGCCTGGCAGAGGGGTGCAGGATGGCACTGGGGCAGTGGTGACAACAGGTCAGGCAAAGTCACACGTGTGCCTGAGCAGCAGCTGCCTCCCTGCCCTGCCCACATGGAAATGAACGTCTCAAATGGGTCACTTCCAAAGCAGCGTGAGTTTAATCTTTGAATTTTACACACACAGATCTAGGCAGGAGTTTCCAGCTGACACAAAATGTTGCATAATTTCCAGAAGATTTATAGCTTTATTTAAATCATTTTCAACCAAGATGAGCACTGGGCAGGGCTAATCTTTCTTGTCATGATGTGCTAAATTGCTTTGATTTGATGATCCTCATCTTTCTCAGGGATTTTTTTTTTTTTAATCACTTAGGAAATGTCACTGGAACATAGCAAAGTTTCAGGGTACTAAAAGATTTCCAAAACTTTTTCTTTTCTCTTCTCTTCCCTCACATCACTGAATCACTCTCCCTTTACACTACAGCAAAATCTGGCAGGGCTGGGGTGTACCTGGGGCTCAGACTCCACCAGAGGGAAGCAATTCCCAATGGAAAGCAGTATAGGCACACAGGTAACCTCATGACATATCATCCCACTGACCCACCCAGGGGCTGGTGCATCGATTATGGCCAAACAAAGCAAACCACCACCTTAGAGAGCTCCCTGGTGAAGCACCTCACCAACACTCCAGCTTTAAGCTCTCCTGTGGTGGGTTTTGGCTGACTGTATTCCTCGAGATCCCTCTTTCTCCTCTTTGCCACTGCTAGAAGGACACATGAAGGGCAGAGCAGCAGCTCTGTGTGGCCATGGAGGCCTCCACAGGGCTGGCTATGCTTCCCTGGCACTGACTTCCAAAGGGATGGGATGGGGGAGGCAGATGATGGTGTTTTGCGTGCCTGAAGAAAGCAAGCAAAAGCATAAGAAGAATTGCTGAGAGGGGAGCTGTGTCAGCATAACTGGCTTGGACCTTGGAAATGCTGCCTGAGGCCACCGTGCCCAAGGGCAGGGGAGTGGGAAGGAGCAGCTTGGTGGGTCCCGGGGAGCCCTGTGGCTCTGCTCCCAACTGCAAAGCCTTGCGTGGACACTCCCTGGGAAGCCCTGTGTCCCCCCTCCTTAATTTGCTCCTCTGTGAGTGTCTGGTTCCCACAGGAGCTGAGCGAGTTTGGCTCTCAGTGGCACTAAATGATGCTGTAGGAACTTCAGCTGTAGCACCTCAGAGTGCACAGGGTGAGGTCAGGCCAGCCAAAGGGGGCTTGGTGCTCCTCCTCGGCTACACACCAAAAGGAGCTACTGAAGCCAGACCTCAAGACACGGGGAAAAAATTCAACCCCAGAGTACATCAGGTGGAATTGCCAATCCATCAGCCTGTCTGGGTGAGCCCTGACACCTGAGGGGTTGACCTGCTGGTCTAGCATTTGTGCTTTGTGGGCTGTTCCTCTCCCTTTTCACCCTCACAGTCTCCTTGGATAAAGGAGTTTGCAAGAACTCAGCAAAGTTTTTCTTTTGTTGTTCGTAAACTAGAATAAATCCTTCTGTTCCAAAATGCCATCTGGCACCTGACAGTTGTGTTTCAGCTTCACAGTCTCAAATTTAATTGTAAGCTCTTTTGCAGGGTTTTCAAGGACAGCGTGACACGATATGGACTACCTACAATGAAGACATATGAACTCTGGAGCATACCAAACAAATTCCTTGCATACTTGTTTTCCAGCACAGCATCAATCACCACAGGGATGGGAGAACGTCCAAAACAGCAGGAGAAAATGCTACAGCTTGCAGTTCTCAGATTGTAATTCATTTAAAGCCAGGAACATTAGCTGTACCACTAAAACATCAGATACAAATCTCTTTTCTCCTTTTGCCCATTTACTATCTCAAAAGCATCGAGACTCAATATTTAAAGTTGTCCAGCGTAGATCCTCAGCCGGTGTAAAGCGACATAACTGTGCTCAACAGCTGTTCCTGTTCTTTGAAGGCAATGGAGCTATGCTGATTTACATCTGCTGAGGTATGATCTATCACTGTATTTCCTTGGCTTTGTCTTTTTGGCTTGTTTTTCTTTTCTTTTTGCTTGACAAAACAAATGACACAATTCCTAGCTCTTATACCGTGTCTTTCATCATTCCATCTCAAAGCACTGCGGTTAAGAACTAGCAGGACTAGCCCTGTGCGATCCTTATGGGAGAAATATCCGAGGCTCACAAAGGGAACTGACTAACACAGGGGACTGGGAAGCACTGGCACTTCAGATATCCTCACTCAGGACACCCACTACCAGCCTATCAGGGGGACATACAGGCTCTTCCCCACAGGATTGCCCACTTCCCTGCCACTTGAGGTAAATAATGGCCAAATACAAAGGCCTGTGTCAGTTTCTATCCAGAGAGTTGGAGCCTGACACGTCCACCCTGATTTCTACCTCCTACCTTTCCTTCTGTCTTTCAGCCACCTCAGCACAGCCACAGACTCACTGGAGATGAGGAGACAAGCCCTGCTTGCAGGGCACCATGAGAAACCACCCCACCAAGAGTGATGGTCCAAACCTACACCTGCACTCATCTCTGGGGTGAGTCTGACTGAGAAAAATAAAAAAAGCTGGTCTTAGTGCTGGCCACTCAGATTCCTGCCAGACAGGCAGCAACACTGTCTCCTACCTCAGCTTAAACCCCACACCTTCACTTTGACTGTTCTCTTTAGCAAGCTCTCCTCTCTCTCTCCCTGGCTCTCCAGATGTGCCTGGGGGGCCAGCCACCGCCCCTCTCATCCTTTGTTCCTCTGGGATAACTACATATAGCCGTTTCAGACAAAATTCTGTCCTCCCTGACCTTTTTGGCTCTTTGAAGGATATTTCAAATAAGGTGCCTCATATCCAGCACCTATAAACTCACACATTTCAGTAGAAATACCACTGAAAACATTCTCCGAGGAATCTCTTACGATCATAACCTCTCTTTCCCTAATTCTATTACAGTAGGCCTTCATCCTGAACTGCCCCTCCTGAAAGATGCTGTACATGTTTTCATACCTCTGAGGTCACAGCAAAAATCCTGTAGGTGCTGTGGCCAGTTTCTTCATTTCCCGGACTGTCAGTGTGATGCTCCCTATTCGCCAGTGCTGTGTTAATGCATCTTATCTTGCTGTTGCTGTGGGCAGGGAGCACTGCACATGTTTAGTTATCACAGGTCAGATGATGAGTGGGAACTCATTAAACCACAGTAATTAATTGCTGGCAACCATCTGGCCACCCCTGAGCAGTAGTGAACAACGTAAGCGGCAGAACTAATGCTGCCTCCTTGCCAGTATTTCTCTCTCCCATGTGGATCCTCTGATAGCTAATAAAAGCTGAGAGTTTATCTCCAAGCAGACACAAAGACTCTCTCTCTCCCCTCATCTCCTCTATCTGAGCACCTGCTTTCATGTAATCTTTAGGAGAGGGGTGTCTTTGACACCACTAACATTCCCATCAAACATTGATGGAACTGGTTAATGCTTTACAGGTTATGAGGAAGCAACAGATAGAAAATGCATGCAGTTAGACAGGAAAAAATAGGTCTTTTAAATCGATCCAGTAACCTTTGCTTAGAGGTGGATGGCAGTTTTGTTATATTGGCAGCTGCTTTAAAACTTGGGACTGGGAAGAGTTGCTTTAAGGTCTTATTATATAAAACCTCCCAACTCTGCACCATTTTAATGTGCTAAGTAAAAGAAAGTTATGCTTCACTCAAAGTTATTAAATTTAATTGAGATCACATTGGGACAAAATGTTATTTTCCTAAATGCCCATGTTGCAAAAGATATTAATCTTGTTTGCCTGCAAGATTGATGCTGGCTCTGCTGAAACAGGCTAGATGCTACAATTAGATATATTTAATTCCTCCTCAGCAGTGCTCTGTAATATAATTTCATCTCCTTCCCTTTCTTCTTTTCTTTCTATTCCAGTTATGATGGGCTGTGGTGTCTGCCCAGCTCCAGGCACAGCATGGGAACTCACACTCAATTTGAAGCACTCAGTGCCCCAGAAGCATTAACACTATGCGACCTGGGGAATAGAAAGCTGAGGAGCAAGGGCTTCTTGGCAGCATATGCATTACACACCATTTCTTAACCATGGGAGGAAAAGAAAAGGGCAGATTTCAGAGATTTTTGGTAACCAAAGGGGGGCTCTGAGAAAAGGGTGTCACTGCAAGTCACTTACCTTTTCTTCAGGGATCGGTGGGGTGCAGACACTAATAAGGACGATGACAATCGCAGAGAGGACACAGAGGATGAGGGCAAAGTAGAGGTAGTGCAAGTCCTTTAGCACAGCTGGTCTTCTGTCCTCCTCACCACAGGACGGTGTGCTATAAATAAACTCGATGATCATCCGAACCAGACCAACAGCCAGCCCAACCATGAGGCCCCAGAAAGCACCCTGAGAAAAGCAAGCACAAAGAAAAAGTCACTGCATGTTACCTTTGGTTGTAGTTTTCCCTCTCCTCTCCCAAGACTTTTCATGCCTGGTGGAAATCCACGCTGACATGCAACAAAGGGGGATTTTTTTCAGTTAAAAATCCTCATTTTCTCTCTCTGTGCTTGAATGTGGGACAGATAGAGCACGAACAGTGCAAGAATCTCCTCCTATTTCTCTAAATAGACTTTAGCACATCATCCCTAAATTGCAGAACAACTTCTCTTTCGTGCTTTCAAACGAGACTGCCAAGAAGTGCCACTTGCAGTGACTTCTTGGAAGCAAACACACACACTAGAGACTGGGCTAAGATTCACTAACACACGCCAGGGAAAGGCTGTCTCATTGTCACACTTTAGCAGGACTGGCTCTGAGTTTAAAGAGTCTCAAAGGCTAAGTGCTGAGGGGAGAGATATTTACTTATTTTATCAAATTAAATACACATATCAATTGGTTGTTGACATTTCACTTACAGGCTCATTAATCCTCTTGCAGAAGATTGCCAGGATGAAGAGAGCTGTGATGGGTGGGGCCAGATAGCTGGTTATGGACTGAATGTAGTCAAAGAGCTTTCCACTGTTGGCTGATTGAATGATTGGGATCCAGAGAATACTGATGACCACAAGAATGACGATAAACACTCTGAAAGGTGATGATAAAACTCTGTTAGCTCTGCAGGTGGTGGAGTCCACCTGAAAATGAAGTTTTGCAGCAAAACACACTCCCAGTTACTCTCAGGATTTCCTTAGAAAAAATCCAAAGGTCACTCTCAGGAACCTTTCCTTGTGTACACAGGAAAAGAGAAAATTGTTCTCTTCTAGGAAGTAATTCAACTCATTCCCAAAGGTAACTTGACAGTCTTGAGAGTGAGCTGTGCTAAGACTTGCCAGTCAACATGCAGGAGAGATCCACAACAGCAGTGGACCCACAACCAGCCCTTCAGCCTGGTATGTCCTAGAGAGAGAAATGATCTTCAGTGACCTTGCTCTTGGATGAGACAGAAAGAAGGAGCTGGAAGCTTGTGGAAACAATCTTTCTGCCACCTTTCCAAGCAGGTAATATGCTCAGTCTCTGCTTATTAAAATTGGTTTGGGGTCTCAGGTGAATATTATAACCCTCCCTCACCTTTGCACTGTATGTTACAGAGGTTTATTCATATTGCTGAACAAGAGAGAGAGCTGGGAGAATCAGCTTTGCACTTTTCACTGAAAAAAAAAACCAAAACAAAACAGGAGTAATTGCAATGTATCACTCCTGTCTGATGCAAAAATAATATTCTTATATAATATTCTTAAAGACCTCTGGTGTCAATGACCCCAGAGCACCTTTGGCTTTTCTAAAAGCTACATTTGAAGCAGTATTTATAATAAGTTTAGAGAAGGCAGAGCTAATGGTCTACCCAGCTCAGTGATACACTCAGTGTTTCTCTCTGACCACGTCTATCCAAGATGAACCTGGAAAGCATAATGCTCTTTCCCAAGCTGTGTTCCTGCTCTATATTATAGGCACCAGATTTTTCTCAGTGAGTCCAGCCTGAAGAATTTAAATGCTGCAGTCAAAACAGATGATGAGAGGAACGAGACATAAATAAATGTAAGGACCTGCCCACAACCATCAGCTCCTGCTCTGAAGCCTGTCTGCGGATCCGCTGCCAGATGTCTATAACGAAGAGAGTGCTGCTGCTGTTGAAAATGGAGGTGAGGGAACTCATCAAGGCTGCCATCATCACTGCAATCATCAAACCCCGGAGCCCTGGGGGACCAAAAGAGGGAAGGAAAATCAGCATTAGATCGTGGGCCCCTGAGCACTGGTATTTTCATCCCGATGTCTGGTAACTGCAGTAAGATTTCCACATCCTTGGGATGGATAAGGGCAGTCTGGTCGCCTCGTGCAAAGCTCATGGACACCTCCCCAGGTGTGTTTCTTACCATCAGGCATGAGTTCAATCACCAGTTTGGGGTAGGCAATGTTGGAACAACCCACTGCAGCTCCACAAACCCTTTTACAGATGTCTGGGTCCACGCAGCCCACTTCATCTGTAGAAGACAGGAAAACAAGAAGAAGTCAGTGTAAACCCCACTGAGCCACAGGTTGTTTAGTTAAAGGGAACAAATCCTGATGCTTTGTATGGCTTCATAGAAAGTCAGAGGTGCAGCTGGAATGCAGCTACAATGAGGGGAGCTGAACAGTATTTTACATCCTATAATAAAGGTAAAGCTTTGAGATGACATTTTGCAATTCTGTTCAGGGCACAGATAAAACTCTCCTGGATGTTGCATAATTGTAATCCTTCATAATTTGTCATTTGTGGGAACTGGATTGTTTCCATGAACCTGTCAGCTGGGTTCCCAGGGATGTTGCAGGCCGACTAAATCCTATTCAGGAAATCTGGGAGATAAGCACTTTCCTCCAAGAGTAGTCGCCTAACCAAGGTATTCTTCTTGGGAATAGGCATGCTCTGGAGAAACCAGCAATGAGAGTGCCTTGGGAGATAACAGAGGGCTCTTTTCTATAATCCACAAGGAACTGAATGAATTTGTGTGGTAGATTGTTAAAACTCTCCAAAATACCTAATGAATGTATTTCCATAGGACCTGAAGGACAGCCCTCAGTGCTCCATGTATTTAATTTCATTTCACTGATTTCCTCAGACAGATGGATGCAAGGTCCACAGGGATGGAGCTTTATGGCCCCAATGGAAAATATGCCCCATATGGATACTCCTACTGAGTTTTACCACTGTGGGAGAACTGGAGGTGGAGGAAGGGCGTGGGAACACTAGGGTACAACAGGAATCTATATGAGCACATCTGCAGGACAGCAGTTCCTAAGATGTAAAAGTGCTGGCAGACCTGTGTGGGATTAGTGGTCCTGGCAGATACGAAGCCCTGTGGCAAGGAACATGGGAAGACTTACCTGGGTAAAGAGCTCTGCTGATCATCCCTGGCATGACAAGGAAAAACATAGGGAAGATTTTCAGATATCCTCCCAGCACCGATCCACCTTTGGCATGGGAAAGGTTCTTGGCAGAGAGAGACCTCTGGACTATCACCTGCAATCAGTGCAGAAAGGGAACAGAGAGTAAAAAGGAAGCACAACAGAGAGAGAGCAGGATCCATCCTCTCTCTGTCTCTCCTTCTCATGGATGACTTTCATCCGACAGGATCCCAGGGTGCTTCGTGTGCCAATGGCAACTTTCCCACCTCAGTTGACTGCAGCCTGCTGCCACTGCTCCAAGCTCAGTGCACAGGCTACAGGAGAGGGCAGCATGGAAATTTCCTTTACAGGAATAATTTCGCCCTTGACTGAAATGAAGCCACCTTGAGGGCTGGAGACAGCAGCTGTATGGCAGCAAGAGACACGGAATGAAGCAGACTGTAGGTGATCTGGTGGTGGGGTTTCATAATTATCCCATCCTAAAGCACAGAAGCACCGTGTCTTGAGAAACACGTACAGATTTCCTTGTTTGTAGTTTGAAAAGGAATAAGAGACATGAGACATCTGGGAATATGAATGGCTTGTCTGGAGGTCTACACAAGGTCACTGCAGAGCCAGTTCAAGACCCACATTTTTATACCCTTGTCATGCTAACTGCATGAAGACTCCCAGTACTCACCAGACCATAGTGGAATAAAGACAGGAGAAAATAACCTGTTCTCACTGCATTAAGAAGTGCACAAAATTAGCAGCTTGCTGAGAAGGCAGAAGGAGTGAGATATTCTGGTCTAGACCAGTAAAATGGTAGTAACTCCTGCACAATGACACACAGGTAATTTTTCAGCTCATAGATCCACAAACTGAGGGCTGAAAGTAACAGCATGGTGGTTCACCTGCTGAGGGAAAGACTTTCCTTACCTGGTCAGTGCACCAGCACCAAAGAGCCAGCACAGAGAGACCAAATATAAGGCCAGGCCAAGGAATGTCTCCTGTGATGGGATCCCTGAACAAATGAAAGGCATCTGCACGTGGGAGGTGACAGGTCGTGTTTGGGACTGTGATCTTTGGTATTGCTGTGCTGTATTTCTCCTGAAGTCCTTCATACCAGCCAACTTTCTCAAATCCTGAAAAGAAAATGCCAGTGATTTAAGGACTGGTACATCCTGCAAAGTTATTATCTTATCTGAGTCTCGTGATTACTTTTTTCTCTTATCTTCCTCTTATCTCCTTTCTTTTCATTCCACCCTTGCTTTTGGCAGTCAGGGTTTCTACAGAAGTCAGTTGGATTTTGCCCAGAGTCCTTGTGGTTTAAACAGTGCATCCTGGAAAAGGATCAATGCTGGAAAATCTCCATGATCCTAATCCTCACAATGTTCTCAGCATCTTGTCTTTACTCAGACACCCTCCAAGAGCAAGGTATGACATGAAAAAAGATATACCTATATTTCTGATTGCCAAGGAGGTTTAAAGCAAAGACTGATGATGGTCAGTCCCTTGTTGCTTTTTATTTTTTTATAGTGCTCAGTAACACCCACATGAATCCACAGTAACTCCCAAAGTCAAGAGTGAAAGTCAGCAGGATTACTCTGAACTGACATGAGCTTAATGAGAGCTGAATTTGACTCTGAGAATGTGATGTTTCAAAGCTCTTTGGCAACTCCAGCGAGGTGAAGTTATCCAGAACCTCACCTCCATACAGTTAGTGCAAAGGATGAAGCAAGTCTGATGACTTGGAGGATAAGAGCTGTGCTGGCACCACTTCTGTGCGTGGTTAAAACTCATTTCTGCACCACACATGAAAGGGTGAGGCACCCTGCTAAGGTCTGATGGCCTTGGGACCATTAAACCCTTACCTATGAACATGAGGACCAAAGCTCCCAGCACCATGATCACGGTCTGCAGCACGTCCGTGTAAATCACAGCTGTTAAACCACCTGCCAGGAGAACCAGAGACAACAGGCAGAGTGTGTCACCACGTACAGGGAAACAGGTACCTCACCCAGAAAAAGGCTGTCCTCGGCCCCAACTCTGTGATTTCAGGACAGACCCACTTGGAGAAGCTGGCACTGAGCTGGTCCCCAGGAGCCCACAGCTGTCAGAAGCCCTCCCATAAGGAATGGCCTGAAGGGCTTTTCCACATTCATGAGAGAACTCAGAGGCATTTTAACATCCTAATAGCTAAAGGTGGTAATTTTGCAGAACAAGAAAAAAATAGCAGATACGGGCAGTGGAATCTGAGCACCTTGTGCAGTGTTAGGAAATCCTCTAGAAAACAGCAATGTTTCCCCCATTCCAGTTTCCCTTGGGCCAGGAGGGAATAGCCAGAGGTCTCCAACAGCTGGGAGTGATAGGACAGGTACTACCAGCAACCAGGGCAACCTCTCCCTCAGACCAGGCCCTGAACACTTTCCCCTACGTAGGAAATGAAAAACTTATATCTGAGGCTCCAGTTTATAACGTTTCCTTTAAAATCAGCTATTTACCAGCTATGGTGTAGACAGCAGTCACTGCTAGCAAGACCACAGTGGACAAGTAGAGGTTCCAGCCCAAAGAGATTTGGATGAACAATGCTCCGGAAAAAATGTCTGTCTGGAATAAAAAAACCCAAGGGCAGTCTGGCATTAGTGGTGCTTCGTGCGAGTGAAATCTAATAAAGCAGCTTGCAGCCCTCTGCGGCTGAAAGCGTCGACGAGGGAGGACACCACGAAGGTGAAGAGGAGGACAGAGCTGTTGGGGCTGTTGGCTGTGAACCTTGTTCCGAATAAAAGGAAAAACTTTCCTTTAGCTCAGAGCTCTCGGGATCTGAGAGCTGGGGGAGCGTGAGGGTAAAAATCAAGGTCCTATGCCAAGGGACCCAAATGTCATCAAAATAGAGATGATCTTCATGCCACAGGATCCTCATTGGGACAGACAAGCACTGGTGGAAATTGTCACTCCTTTTGCTGACTGTGAAGACATCTATGGGCAGGAGAGCCCATATATCCACAGGCATAGGATAGAAAGCAGAGATCACATTCTTCCCAGGACTACATCCTGGTGGGCTAGTGGCCAGGAGACACTCCTGCTTGAAAGACCCCTACAGAATCACTGGTGTCTTACACCATGATTTATTTATCTGAAAAGGTCAGCAGCTTGCTTTTCTGTTCATGCAGTCCATCCTACCAGAATGACTCCAAAAAAACAGGTTATACCTGCTGAGGACCTCACTAGAAATACAGAAACTCCCATTGGCTGTGTTTTGTTTGGACCTTTTGGCAGAGAGAGTGGCACCAGAAACTGGGTGAAACCTGGAATTACACAGATAACATCATTCAAAATTGCAGAAGGTGATATGGGAGATATTTGTGTTGTGAAATCAGTTTGAAGGACACCTGTAAATCTGGAGTGGAGTGAGATGCAGGTGAAGAGAAATTTTCCAAGGGAGACAGGAGGGACAGGGCAAGAATTCCATTTGCTGTGCCTGAAATTAGCACCTTAAAAGCAAGTACCCAGTGCAACCCCTGCCCTCTGCAAACCTGAGACAGGACTAGCACAGCCAGTACACCACAGGAATCACGGTGCCTTCTGGGGTTTCACTTCCCAGCAGGAAACACAAACACCTCTGTAGCCAGGCAGGATCAGTCCTCTGACAACACTGCTTATTGAGATACTCTGTTTTCTTTGCAAGCCAAGAAGACTCTGCAATGCCCTAGTTGTTAACCTATGTTTGGGCAGAAAGCACAGGGAGAAAAATCCTTCTTGTAACCAACTGCCTGCTGTCCAGCCAGCCGCTAAATGAGCTCTGCACAAACAATAGCACCCCTTAATAGAAAGCACCTGTCATGCCCATAAACTCCACCAGCCACATCCATCAGCCACGCGTGAATTGGCTGCACGGAGGAGAAACCACTGAGATGAAACAGCACTGAGGGGGGCCAGGGTCCTGCTCTGAAAAGCACTGGCAAATTCTGCTCTGCTGAAGGTCATTCTGAAAGACAGCTCTGTTTTTGCCACACGGCTGTGTGGCTGTGCACACTGTGGGCTGTGGCAGGAGAGGTCTTCCATTTACCCCCTGATGGGTAAGGAGGCTTTCAAATGCCTCTTGGCAAGACTTAACCCACGGCAGTGCTACAGTCTCAGAGAGCAAAGCTCCTGGTGGCAGTGGTGACAGCAATGGGTGACATGACCAAGAGCTGCCCATTAGAGGAGCAAATCTATCCCACCCTTCCAGCCTGGAACTCCTCTTCATGTCCCTCCCAGGACCTGAGACATGATAAGCCTGGGAGAAGGACTCTGAAACCAGCTGCAAATCTCCAGTCAGTGCTTCCCAAGGCAATCTGGCAACTAAATACTGCAGTAAGGTCTAGTGAAAACTGACTTGTACTGGCCTTGGGACAATGAGCTGGAGACAAAGGACTGACATTTTCAGTCCCTGTAATGGACTCTGAAATACCGTCCTCTCTCCTCCAAGGGCATAGGTAGTTCTTTAGTATCTGAGCATAAATTCTGCTTCTGTATCAATGGCATTTAAATGGGGAAATATCCTGTAGCTTACATTGCTTTTTGGTTACCAGCAGGGTACAATGCTACAAGCAATCCAGAAAAGATGCTGAGTTTTGCCTTAAGCCGGAACACTGTACCCTTTTCGTACAACATAAGTGATAGAAAGAGAAAGAAATAGCTATAACGTACCTAATGCTGAAAACTCAGCTACAAGAACAGCAGCAGGTTTATGATAATTTAATAGAATTTCACCTCTACAAGATGCAGCCAGCCAGATTCTCAAATGGGGTAATGCTGCCCTTCCTCTGTCTCTATTGCCTCAGGTTTGATCTGATAGAAGAGGAAAAGCAGGCAGACAGCTCGTGGTACTTACACTGTTTAGTAATTAGCTGCACATCCCTGTAAAGTTCTCACTGTGTGTTGCTGTTTAATGAGGGCTCTCTCTCTTAGGATAGGTCTCCGTGATCAATACAGAGGCAGGTGTTTACCTGAGCAGAGCAGCACAAACACACTGCTGTTGTTTCTGGGAGCTAAGCTGGTCCTTTCAAGGACATCTGAGTTCTCCATGAGCAGCCCTGAGTTCTACCAGGATGACCTACCCCCGCCCTAGACACAAGGGTTCATGTTCAATTGGATACATACGGATATCTTGGTGAATATGTAGAGAATCAGGGACAGTATGGACATGTAGATTTGTATCCTCTGCCCTCCAAATCTCTTCTGCAGGTACTCAGGCATGGTGACTACTCCTGCTGCGATGTAAACAGGCACAAAGATCCAGCCAAGAGCCAGAAGTGCCCAGGTGGCCTGTTAAAGAGACAGAACATAAAGGCACATGATTCAACACATGGGAACAGCTTTTCCCTCTGTTCTGTCAGTGGACATCCTAAGAAAGCACAAAGGTACAGTGCCATGCAATGTATTGGAGAAGCAGTCCAACTTTTTCTTCCTCCACTGGAGGAATTATTACAATTCAGTTAGAAGCTTTTGAAGTTCTTCTCCTAAGCCCTGTGTCTCTCTGTCATGGGTGGCACATCCTGTTCCATCTCCTGATCTTTCGGTCAAGGTGGTGTGTCTGTTTGCTGTGGCTCTCTGAAAGATGGTGCTGTATTTGGTGGCCTTTGAGGCCACTGATGCTGTGTCAGTGAAGAGTTAAGTGATTCAGAGCAGGATGGGAGCATCTGTTTATTGCTTGATTAGCAAGTGATGAGGCTGAGGCAGCAGACTGTCCCTGCGGAGCATAAAAATAAGCAACAGCAAGACTCTGATGGGATGTTCTCCTTGCAGGCTGACACAGATGTGCTTCTGTCACTGGTAGATAAAGGGGCAGTTCAGTTGCTCTGCCACAGGTGAAGAGTCTTTTGGAAGGTGTAAGGGCATCTCCCACTATGTATTTTTTCTCTGATTCCCAGCAAAAGCCCAAACAGGAGAACTTGAAGGTAAAAAAAAAGTCATTGGATGATCAAACCTCACCCTCTGGCTGTCTTGGGCCATTACCTTTCATCCAAGTACCTTACATTAGTCCAGATTTTATTTCAATCAGTTACTTAAGTTTTCAGAAAAGAAACTGATCCCTGTGAGCAGAGATTGTGACTGATTGAGAACAGCCATGGCTCCTGCAGTGACAGAGACTGGCTGAGGTGAAAGATGCTCATATGATCCCTCTGGCTGAGTGATGTCCCACGATAAAGGGAGAGAATAATGGCATATCTAAGGTGCCTTTCCACTCTGAAAGAAATTAATCTAAACTCATGAAGTTAGATTTGCCCTGACATACAATCTTGTCTTCATGGGCTTCTAAAGTGACTTGAATAGATTTCCTAAATTACAATATTGGTATGTCCTATGGGTACCAGACTGAACACAGTCTCTGGTTTCTTCACAAAGGACTTAAAGGTGATCTTAATGGTCCAGAAAAAAAAAAAAACAGTCCAGTGAATAGATATCCCAGGAAAGAGCTTTCGGTGGGCCCTGCCTGTGCTGTGGCAAGTACCCAGCACCATTAGCACTCTCTGCTGATGTAGACAAGAGATTCAGAGTTAAGTGAGTGATGTTTATTGTGAGGCTGGCACTAATCTCACTCCTCATCACTGCAGCTGAGAAATTTCATTAGCATTGCACACAAAGGGCCTGGTTTTCATGCTCTGTGTGGTGTCAGTGGCAATTTTCCAGGCCACTTCCACAGGGCAGAATCAGACCTGCCTTCACACCCAGATGTTCTCCCCAGAGACGCCACGTGTTGGCAGCTGACAGGTGAAGGCAGTGTTGCTGATTCTCATGGATTTACACTGAATTTAGGAGAACATGCTGCCTTTTTTTTTTTTTTAACTCCCTGTACCCAGAATCCTGTGATTATCTGAGTACCTTTCCAGCATTCGTTATCTTTTATTTTAATCTTCATAAGTGCAGACTAAAGCTTAAAATTATGGCCACGTGCTTCTGAGAAGGTTAAAGAGCTAATAATTCTAGTGGATTCCACTTAAACTAAAATAAAGATCTCACATTTTCAAGGCTCTCAGAATATCTGGAGGCTTCTCTCATGAGGCTTGAGCACTTGTTGCTGCTGATACTGTTAAGCACCTGATTTTGGAGACAAACACACAGTCCATTTGTAGACAGCGACATCTTAGTTGACAGCAAAACTGACTTACATTCCACTCAAAGGCCCCAACAGCAAGGCCCCCAGCTGCTCCAGTGCCCGCCAGGCCGATGAATAAGCCACTGCCCACATTGCTTGACATCAGGGATGCCCCAATCTGAAACACATGGCACAGGAACAAAGCCCACAGTCACCCTGAGGAACTTCAATATCAGCCCAAGCATTTTCCCCTTTTCGCAGGACTTCATCTCCTTGTAGTTAGGTAGCTGGATGCTGATGGACAGTTGAGTTTTCCTTCACCTTCTGAAAAAAAACCCTACATTTTTGTATCTTAAAGTATGTGTGCCTGCTCCCTTCCACTGCCCCCACCCCAACGCAAAGCTTAACCTCAGATTCAGGGTTCACTTTGTCAGTGGTCCTGAGACATAGGTCCCTTGTGGGGAGAACAGCAGGGTGAGGGAGCTCTGGTGTCAGCCAGAGATACCTCAGTGTCCATGAAATGGGGCGGATTTCTCCATTCCCTTGTTAGTCAGCCAGCAACGTGCCTGCTCCGACCTTGCTGACCCTTGCTCTACCTCCCTGTGTCTTGCTGACAGCCCCTTTTTAAGTCTTGCACTGAACATGGGTGGTGGTGGTTCACACTTCCACGGTGACAGGAGCGCTCCCTCGAAGCTCCTCCTAAGGGAGGAGATCCCTGAACCGTGGCATGGACGGTGTTAGAAACATGCAGGTCTTCTGTGTTCGGGGTGTGTGTGTTCGAAGCGATCCAGCTCTGCAGCAGGCTGGAAAATGCTAATGGCTCAGGTTAACTTCAGCTGCAGGCTGTGGGCGTGGCAGGCTGTCCCTACCATGGCTCACTGACACCCTAATTGGGAGAATGCCAGCTCTAAGGCTCCTTAAACAGGGCAAAGGCTATCTGACTAAATTACTATTTTTGTTGGCACAAAGCCTCACCTCCTTTCTTTATGCCAGCATCAAGTCTCTCTCAGGGTCAAATGAGTTACTAAAAGGACAAGTCAAGCCCTTTTGTCCTAAAGTTTGCTTTTAGGCACATCACCTAGGAGGAGCTTTTCTCTCCTTAGTATTGCTACATGTGAAATAAGGAATGATAGAAGTTGATCTGAGTCTCACCTTTGAGCAAGGTAAAACATTAATATGACATCAACACCCACACTGACTCCTGCTGACAGCTCTGCCTCCTTGTCTGGGAAAGCTCTTGATTAGAGAGCTGGTTGCTGCAACATGAATTAGCAACTGGTGCTCTCAAGAAATGTAACCAGTTTTCCTGATATGTAGATCAGACACAGAAATAGAGAAGATACATTGCAGAGGAGCAGCAATTTAATATCAGGGTTCACTTGAGGTTGCTTAATTCACAGTTGAAATCTGTCACTCCCATTAAAAAAAATAATAAAATACATGTAAGCCAGTCTTGAACTCAAGGTGGAGGCCACAAGGAGCTGAGCCTGCAGGAGTGCTGCAGAGGTGGAATCAGCTCTGACAAACAAAACTGGAAAGGGAACAGCATTAGAGGTTGCTTTGAACCTAAAATGGTTCCAAAGAGCCAAGAGCTGACCTGTACCCAACAGTCTCTGTGGCCACCTGTGGCTGGAGCCAAAAGCAGTGAGAATGTTTTTGGGTTTGTTTTGGGGCTTTTTTAATAGAAGGGGGGAAAAAAAGGAAGAAAAAAAAAAGAACAAAATTGAGGAAAAAAAGTTTCATTTTAGTATCTTTTAATTTTCCCCCTCCTAATTAGAGAAAACCATCAAGCTAAGTATTTTCAATTAAATGTCACTTGGCTGAGACAGTAGTATAAAGAACATTTAAGAAATGACAGATTTTAGAGAGGTGTATGTGTCTCTGATGGAGCAGACTGAAAATCTAGCCTAGTGAATTTATGGGCAATGCACAGCCAAAGTTAAAAAAAAAGAAAATAAACCAGTGTTTTGGTTGAGAAGTGCATTCCGTAACCCACGACTCACTGGAGAGATATATGGGTTATACAGAGTCTGGCATTGGCTGAGAAGAATCTTTATTCCTGTGGTGTTTTTATTCCTTTCAAACTTTAAATTATCTTTGTATGTACCTTTCACTCCCAAGAAGAGGTGCCTTCAATCCATTATTTTTTTCTTCATAGTGAAGATTTATACTTCAGTGGTTTGAAGTTTATATCCCTTACATTGTTAGTCAATAAACTCAACTTTGCTCTAAAGAGCAAGTGCTCAGAAAGTCCTGGGCTTTGGGATTATTTTTTCTTCAGTCTCTAAATGCTTTTTTACTGGATAGCACATTCCTAGATTACCTAATGCTCTCTTGACTTGGGTACAACTATCTGTGGTGGGTTGGGGCCGAAGAGTTTCAAACCCAGCTAGGCTGTCAGCACTCCCTCACTTCCATCAACAGGAACAATTTCATTGCTGTCTTTAGCAGAGAAATTGAGAGTTGGAAAAATGTGAAGATGCTGAGCTACCGTTTTAGCCTGGTAGCCCATTAGCAAAGCTGAATAGGATGATCCCTGATGGATCCTTCATTTGTCCTCTTCAACTCGAGAATACAGTCAAAACATGTGGGGGACTGGGTCTCCTCACCAGACCTGCCCTCCTTGCATCTGGAATTGCTTTCAAACCCTGAGAAACAGAGGGATGTGTTTCACTCACAGGCCACCAAGTCATGGACCGTCCAGCGAGGAAATAGCCTCCAATGGTCCCCCGGCTTGCTCGTATCGATGACTGGAAGCACAGGAAAAAGAAAAGTGTTTTCCCCCATTCACCCACCCTCGAGTCAGACCAAGCCAGGAGAATCCTTAATGCTTGGTGTCAGCATCAGCTCCAAAAGTTTCTTTGTGGATCTGTTAAATACACAAGGTTTTGCCCGCTGCTTCTGCTGCTCCTTGTCTAGGTTTCTGATAGTCCAACTTCTTTTGAAAGAAGCTGCTTGTCACCTGTTTAATAACTTCTCCTTGAATGTACCAATTGGGAAAGAAAAAGCAGTTCAGCCAGCTAGAACACTACATGTCTCTGTGACAGAGGCCTTCACCAAACAACGTGAACAAGTACTTAGCAACAATCTTTCCAAAGATTTTGAAGTCCCATTTCAGTCTTCCTCCATTCCATCCCTGGCTTTTCTTTTGCCTCCTGTCTGCTCACATCCTGATATGAGATTGCTCTGCAGCACAGGAGGTAAACATCATCCCCAGAATGACCTCCAGGGAATGATCCCTTGGTTGTCCCCATGTGAGCTGGGAGCGAGGGCTCACAGGAGGGTCACTGTCACCCCAAAACTTGCTCAATAGGCTCTGGGATAACAGTATGAGCAGAGGATGTCATTTGCAGGCAAACATCTTTGTACCCAGGAGGGGTCCAGGGAGGATCTAAGTGTCTCTGCCTCGGGTAGACCCAAACCCAGTCCCCTCGGGGACTCACCCATATCCCGACGGCGAGGACGAAGGCGAAGTACAGAACCAGGACAGTGATGTCTGCCACTCCAAAGGCTGCTGCCGTGTCCCCTGGCAGCACAGGCACCTCCGTGGTGGCTGGGATCGGCTGGCTCATGGCTCTGAGCAAACTGCTGATCTTCTCGCTCAGACTGGACTTTGCTGCACACTGGCCTTCATCATTTCCCCTGTAATAATTAACAAGGTGAAGAAGGTGGGAGTGGGAGCCAGGCAGGGCTGTGGCTAACGTTTTCCAGTAGAGGCTTAGTCTCCATGGTTCATCAGTGAGGACCTCAACGTAGCTCTGTGGCGTGAGGATTCCTCATTGGTGACATCCACTCAGCAAACAGGCAAAGGTCACATTGCCTTGTTCCCCACCCCAGTTTCACATCACTCTCCCTGCAGCATCCTATAGGAGAAAGTTCCTCCTAAGAGGAGCTGCCTAGAGGGGAGTTGGTCTTTCTTCCTAGTGGGGGTGGTGAGGATGTGATTCTCTGCAGGCTGGGTCAGCACCAGCAACCACATCCCAGGGACAGGACCAGCTACACCAGTGCCCCCTTTCCTCATTCTGTGTGCTGCCTCCTTCCCCATCCTGTGCTGCAGCTCAGGGATAGTCTGTGCTGCAGAGACCTGCAGCCACAGTGGGCACACAGCAGACAGAGAGCAACAGGGTAAGTGCAGGGGGGAGACAGCTGAGTTTCCTTGGCAGGCTCTCCAGCGTGCACGTGGCCAGCAGAGAAGGAGTTAAATGGATTGTATGACAAGCAGAGCCCAAGTCAGGTCACCTACATGAGTCGGGGAAGCTGCAGTGGCAGCAGGAGCAGCAGCTGTCCTGGGGCATGGGCATGTAGGAGGGGGTTGACCCCTGTCACAGAACAAACTGTGAACCATGGGTCCTTCTCACTGTCCCACCAGCTCCCAGTGCAGCAGAGACATTTCTCTGCCTGGTATGAGACAAGATGGGGGGACACCCCTGAACCAGGGCACAGGATGTGGGTCACAAAGCCCCTCTGCTCCTTTGTTGGGACAGCTTGGGGAGGATCACCCACCGTTCCTATCCCAGTTGGCAGAGTCATTCCAGAGCTGGCTGTGGGGCACAAGCCTTCTCCAGGCAGACCCCAGACCTCAAAGCAGAACCATCTCCTACCTCCCCCACCCTCCACCACCCATGGTCCCTCACCACATGACATACCACAGAGGACATTTTAAACTTCAGTGAGCTTTGCTTGTTCTTGGTTTCAAGGGAGGCAACAGAACCTTTCTCTCATTTTGCTTTATCCCCCTCTCTCCTAGAGTTTTCTTGCAAATGCTGGCTACCTACTTGCTCATTAATTGCACTGCTAACATGAAGCCCACATCCACCCCTGCTCCCCAGTCTCAGGCTCCCTGGGAGCAGTGCCTCCCCATAGTCTCATTATCCACAAGAGGCTTTTCAAGACTGAAATGTTTCAACAAGCTGAAGTACAGTTACCAGAAATTAAATATCTGGAAGCCTAAATCCCCAGGTGTAAACAGGCAGCTCTCTCTGCACAGAGCTGATTTACACTCACCCACACACTTCTCCCTCTTAATACCACAGCACTGAAAAAGACAGTTGCCTTATCCTGAAATGCATTAAATACCTGCTCAAGAAGCAAACACAGCCAGTATCTCCAGTCTTCCCAAACCAGGAATCCTCCTCCACATAGCAAGCCCAACTCACAGCACCTGCATGACCCAGCCCTTCACCCCACCTTCCCAAGGTGCTGTACCAGCACCAATTAACCCTTGCAAACACTTGCAAGCTTGCACCCCGAGCAGTAAATGCATCTAATAAGCCATTCCCGACAGCTGTGAGCTATCACGAGTCCATTTCACCCACTAGTATGGCACTGGCTTGTGGTGGCAGGATGTTGCTGCACTGACTGGATCATCCCAAACCCTAGTGGCCAACCCCACTGCTGGTGCAACTGGGTGGGATTGCAGGGGCCGCACTTTGAGCGCAGATGATACCTTCAGTGCACCTGTGGCCGTCCCTTCCTTCGCGGCTCCTCGGTCCTGTCCAGGCAGGAGCTGCTCCGCTCCCCGCTCCTGGGACAAGCTGCAGAGGTGTGCTCCTTTCGGGGTTTTCTGTGGGGCTGTGACTGAGTCCCTGCCCACATCCAAAGGGATGATGCATTCCAGTGTTGTGTGACACTCACCCTGGCTCCTGGCCCTGCCGCAGGAGCCCCGGGCAAGAAGCACAGAGCACAGGGAGGGGTGCACGGCTCCGCGGGGTCCCGGCAGCAGGACAGTGCTTATCTCCTGCTCCATGCACTGCTAAGTCAACACTGGTGGCCATCCACCCCCAGGAGATGTGGTGCTCCTTGCCCTGGGAACAGAAGTGGGAATTCGCATACCCGGGAAACAATAAAAATTCAGCACAGCTGACAAACAAGCGGCCCTTGGAGTCAGAGATATGACAGCAGCGTAAGCCCAGCAGGTGCAAGCAGGCAGATCTCTGTTGATTCAGAGGGTGGCACACACTGTCTCTCCCACTTATCTCCAGGGGCCTGGTGAGGCACCTGGAATGTGGTTACCTGCCATGGCAAAACCACCTTCCTCAGAAGGCAGAGGGCTCAGAGCCCCTTGGTCTTGTAGGCAAGGCTGTATTTTGGTTGCCCAAAGCAAAAGGACAATTTGGTTTATGTTGCCTGTGTTGGTGGGAGTGGTGCTGGTGGCAGAGGAAGTACCAGGCATGATGGAGAGGGGTGAGCCAGTGAGCAGAGGGCACAAAGATGTTGTGGGGTGTCACCCGTGGCAGGAACAGGCACTGGTAGAGGTGTTGGCTGTACTCAAGGGGGTAACTGGCAGAGAGGGCTGAGCTTAGGAACACAGATCTCCCTCTTCTCCCCTTCCCCCTCCTGAGACATCACTCTTGTAACTTCCAAAGAACCTTTCCTCCTCCCTTCAGGACTCACTTCCTAGTGCATACCTGGCTTCGTGCAGTCTTTCTGTTGTCTTTGTGAGGGCTGAGAGCAGGTAGAGCAATCAGGGGGCAGAAGGCAGCCCGTGAAGCTTAGATGGTGGGGCTGGGACTACCTTGTCTTCTTGGCACTGAGCCCTGCATCCACAGCTTCTCCCAGCCCTGCCATGATGCCTGGCAGAGGTGTGGGGCAGGCTGCAGAGGAGCAGCAGCCCTGTAAACCCCACAGTTTAAGCAGTACCTGGGAGCTGCAGTCAGCCTGCAGCACTGTTAATACGCTCTCCTCTCCTTGCAGCAGAAGTGACAGGACGTTTAGTGTCCTCTTGTGGAGTGTGAGGCCTCGCTGCTGTCACAGCGGCTGAGAATGAGCCCTTCAGGGACTGGAAATTGTAAGTGGCGTTTCAAAGTGTGCAGCTCGAACAAAAAATAAAAAGGTGCTGAAGAGCAAGTGTTTTTAGGGCAAAGGATGCTCGGTGAAGTGACAGGTAATTATTTTCGCAAATGCTAACGAATAAATGGACTTCCTCTTCATTATCAGGCTACTTCACAGTCGTCAGCAAATAGCTCCAATGACAATTAGTGAATTTCTAAATGGATTGAGAAACTGGCTTACACACAGATACCGATGCAATGAGGTGAGGCGATAGCCCAGCCTTGCTTCTCACCTTGCCTCCTACGGGGGGATTTCCTGCATGCTGGATGGGTGAGGCATTCAGCTAACTGTTATTTTCTTCTCAGCCCTTTCTCAGAGGGAATGACTCTTGAATGAAATCCAGCAGTTTAATTTTGGTTTGATATGAATGGGCTTTGAATGTATTTAACGTTTAAAGGCAGCTATTGAGCTCGGAGCCGGTGCCAGAGGAGCAGCAGGAAGCAGACCAGACCCCCGGGAAGTGCAGTGGTGCTACCACAGCTCTTTTCTTCCCTCTGCAGGCCACGCTCTGATTTTCACTCCTGGATCGTCCCATAAACCTGGAGCAAGACCATGACTTCAAGACTCCCTGTATTATTTTCGTTTGTTTGTTTAACCTGGGTGAGTCAGGGATACCTGTGCTGAGGCAGTGATAAAATGCCATGCAGAGGAGTGAGGGAATGTGCTGGTTTCAGTGGGAATCTCAGTACCTGGTCAGGATGCTTTGTGCTCCATCACACCAGGGGAAAGCTCCCACCTCCATGGGCTGGAAACTGCTGCTGTCCATTCCTGGGGACAGGGAGAGGCCCCCGTGCAGGGTGCATGTGCTCAGTTTCAGCCATGCAATGCTGGTGCAGAGTCAGGTGGGCTCACATGGCAGGTGCTTCATTTGGGCTTTCCCCTCCTCAGGGAGCTGCAAGCATGGACCTCTCCC